GTTTCAAAAGTGTCTTAAGTCTAATATGTTCAAAAGAGAATTCTTGAAACTGTTCCAGCTAACTAAATGGCAGCCCATCTTCCCAAGTCAGAAAATTAGAATTTATTTATCATTCCTTTTTTCTCCCTATCCCACATTCAATCCTCAACAAGGTCTTAAGAATTCTACCCTCCCATTCCACTCCTTCCTCAATATAAATCCATGTACTTCTTTTCCCAGCTGCTATCACCTCAGTCTAGGCCATGATTTTCTTTTTCCTGGACAACTGCAATAGCTTCCTAACTAGGGACCCTACTTCGATCTTTTGATAACTTCCAACTTTTTTGTGTGTGCAGTAGAAAAATTTTAACTTAAAAAAATTTTTTTGAGAGATGGGGTTTCACTATGTTGTCCAGGTTGGTCTTGAACTCCTGGATCAAGCAATCAGCCTGCCTCAGCCTCCCAAAGTGCTCTGGGATTACAGGCGTGAGCCACTGCGTCCAGCCGACATTCTTAAAATACAAATATAACTATTTCATTTCCTGACTAAAGAATCATCAAAGGCCGCCCACTGCCCTGAGAATAAAACCCAAATTCTTCATTCTGACTTGCAAGGCAAGTATAATCCCTGCCTATCTCTCTGATGTTGCCTGACTTCTTGATATAGTCTTAGGTCATTTCCCTTGAGCTTATTAACCCTCAGCCTCTTTGATTTTTTTTTTTTTTTTGGTTTGTTTTTGAGACAGGGTCTTGCTCTGTCACCCAGGCTGGAGTGCAGTGGCACAATCACAGCTCACTGCAGCCTTGACTGCCAGGCTCATGGGATCGTCCCACCTCAGCCTCCTAAGTAGCTGGGACTACAGGTATGCACCATCATGCTCGATTGATTAATTTTTTTTTTTTTTTAGTAGAGATGGGGGGTCTCGGTATGTTGCCCAGGCTGGTCTCGAACTCCTGAGCTCACATAATCCTCTCACCTTTGCCTCCCAGAGTACTGGGACTACAGGCATGAGCCACTGCACCCAGCAGCCTCCCTGATTTTTATTCTTTGCACTCAACAAGCTCTTTTCTGCCTTTGGCTTTTACACGTGTTATTTCCTTTTCCTGAAAAGCTTCTCCCCCACATTTTATATATCCAACTCCTTTTTGTTCGTTAGATAATAAAATGAATATCACTTCTTCAGAGAGATCTCCACTGATTATCATTTTTTTCTTTTTTTAACCTACATTTTATCCTTGTTTTTCTTTTAAAACTTTTAAAAAGCACATATAAAATGCTTATTAGGTGTGTGATACTATTCTATTCACGACAATCTCATAATTAGATTATATTATTATCTCCTTTTTGGATACGAGGCAACTGAGAAACACACAGCTAGTAAGTGGCAAAGTTAGATCTGACCCAAGTAGAGTAGCTTGTGCTTTTTTTTTTTTTTTTCTTTTGATGAGTCTTGCTTTGTCACCAGGTTAGAGCACAGTGGCACAATCAGTTCATTGCAGCCTTAATCTCTTGGGTTCAAGCCATCATCCTGTCTCTGCCTCCTAAGTAGTGGGGACCACAGGCATGTACTACCATGCCCAGCTAATATTTTTTAGTTTTTTGTAGCCATGAAGTCTCTCTATGTTGCCCAGGCTGGTCTTGAACTCCTGGCCTCAGGTGACCTCCTGCCTCAGCCTCCCAAAGTGCTAGGATTACCAGTATGAGCTACCACACCCAGCCTAAGAATGCTTTAAGAAATTATGTTTTATATTCCTGTCATTGATATATATGCAATACATATGGCATATACGAAAAAAGAGGGAAATGCCGCACTGGAACAGCATGGTATATAGGAAATAAATTTGGCTGGGCATGGTGGCTCACATCTGTAATCCCAGAACTTTGGGAGGCTGGGGTGGGAGGATCCCTTGATCCCAGGAGTTCGAGACCAGCCTGGGCAACATAGGCAGACCCCATCTCTACAAAAATTTAAAATATTAGCTGAGTATGGTGGCACACATCTGTAGTCCCAGCTACTCAGGAGGCTGAGGTGGAAGGATCGCTTGAGCCCAGGAGGTTGAGGCTGCAGGGAGTCATGATCACGCTACTGCACTCCAGCCTAAGTGACGGAGACCCTGTCTCAGAAACAAACAAACAAACAAACAAACAAACAAAAAAAAACCCAAAAAAACACAAAATGAGTTTATCTTCTTTACATTAAATACCAACATTTAAGGATCAAAGTTCAACTAAGCAACATCTTAAAGTGTGAGAGTGTGCAAGACATGCCTGAAATCAGACAAAAGTGACAAGTGACAAAAGTGTATCAATCAGAAAAATGGGGCAGGATAGAGCATAGGGGCTGGGCCACAATGGAAATTTAGAAAAAAGGTAAGTCACAGAGGCAAACTCTGTTCTTAGTCTGATCCAAAGGAGAGGGAAGCGCAGGCAATCTAGTCCAAGTCTTATGATCCCTTTGGAAGGACTATGCTTACAGTTCATACAGTGAGGAATGGCCAGGGGCTTCCTGGAAAGGCAGGTTAGCAACCTGCAGTTGCAGGTTCCATCTCTTTTCTCTTCAGCAGTTCATCATCATTCATCAACGTGTCAGAGGTCAGATGCCACAGGAGCACACAGAAGGGGCTTCCCACCTGGAGTGTGAGATAAGGAAACATAGGTCGGATGTTGTAGTCATTATCATCCGCTTCTCTACAAAGCTGGAATTTATGGTAGCTGCACATTTGGAGTGTTTTCTCCTTTTATTTATTTATTTTTAGATCAGACAATCACAAGAGAATATTCTTTTGTTTTATTTTCAGATCAGACAATCACATGAGAATATGCTGTTGTGATCACTGGCGTTTAGAAGGAACCTTGTCTGGTTTATGAAGCAATTTAAAACACATCCAGACAGCCTGTTAGTGGAAGTTTTGGAAGGGCACTGTCATTTGCTTTTCCTCCCACGCCATCAACAAGTGTCTTTTTTTTTTTTTGAGATGGAGTCTCTGTTGCCCAGGCTGGAATGTAGTGGTGCCATCTCGGCTCACTGCACCCTCTATCTCCTGGGTTTAAGCAATTCTCCTGCCTCAGCCTCCCAAGTAGCTTGGACAACAGGTGTGCACCACCACGCCTGGCTAATTTTTGTATTTTTTGTAGAGACGGAGTTTCACCATGCGGGCCAGGCTAATCTTGAACTCCTGACCTCAAATGATCCACCTGCTTCAGCCTCCCAAAGTGCTGGGATTATAGGCTTGAGCCACTGTGCCCGGTCAACAATTGTCTTTTTTTTTTTTTTTTTTTTCTTAACCAGGTACACAATGATGAGAGAGTTGAGTCCTGCTTTCTAACTTAGAAAACGCATGTGTATTGAACACCTGGCCACGGAGAAACAGTTCCGGAAGAGGTGCCATGCAGAAGAAGAGAGGGAAGGAACTGGAAAGACCCACCGATCTGCGGGTCTCACAGCCTCCCGCGACACAGAAATCGCTTCTTTTCTCTTCTATTGCATTCTTTCCTCTTGATTCTCCACCCTTCTCCGCTCTTTCATTTCCTCCACTCTTACTTTGCTTTCACCTCCTTTTGTAACCGTTCATCATCACTCTTTATGTAGATGAATGTGATTATCTTACAAGCATGTAATATTTAGTTGCTGGGTTTGTATGAGTAATGAGTGAACCTGAAGCCAACATGATGAATCCCGTTTAGTGCTCTAGAGTTAAGATTCCAGAATTGCCTGACTTTGGGCAAATCACCCCATCTCCCTTTGCCTTTCTTTCACCCCCTGTAAACTGCGGATAATGGCTCCTACCTCAAAGCATTGTTAGGATTGGAGAGAACGCATGTTACATACTTAGAAGAATGCTTGGCACGGGTCTCAAGAACTCTTAGCTCTTAGTGCTTAAAAAATGCTTATTGTAGGGCATCGCTGGTATCTTATATAGGGCATTTCATGCAGTTTTCCTTTATTGAAGACACAGAGCAAGGTGCTTTGGTGGAAACTATTGGGGCAAGATATACAGTACCTGGAGAGGTTTCCTGGGTGCATGTATTATGGAGATTTTTTTTTCTGAGCGGATAGCGCTCTTGTGATACGCTGGGCGAGAGCGAGCAATATTTAGCGGACTGTCCTGAGAGGATGATAAGGTTATTTGGTGAGAGTGTTAGATGGCCCAGGCCAGACTCGGGAGAGGCAGGGAGAGAGGGGGACGACGGACGAAGGCGCCTTGGGGGTGTGTCTTGAAGGCTTTGGAAACCCAGCGTTCTTTTGGGGGCAGGTGGCCCAGAGAGCCTTCTGCGCGCCCAGGGGACTAGAAGGATGGGCGGGCCGCGACCGCGATAGTTTTGTTTGCTTTTCTCGGGAGAAAGCGTTCCAGGCAGTTTTCTAAGCTTCGGTCCTCTACGTAGCAAAAGAGCCCGGGCGCCCACGCCGCTCTCAGGGTCTTCTACCGCCACCGGGACAAAGCCCTAGGAGGAGCTCCCGCCCCCGCGAGCCGGACAGGGAGGAGGCTCCCCCGCCGCGCGAGCCCCACCGCTTCCCAGTCCCGGGCCCGTCGCCTGCGCCTCCGCTTGGCGCGCCTCGCGGTGCAGCGGGCGGTGGCCCCGCGCGCCCGGCGGGAGGCGCCTCGGGATGTTTCCGTCTGGTCCTTCCCTCCTCCCCCCGCGCTGACTCCATCCGCTCCCCGCCCCCTGCTCGGAGCCGCCGCCACGCGGGAAGGGAGGGAGTCGGCCCCGAGACTGCATCATTCCGCACCGGCTGCTGCAGGGCCAGAGGGAGCAGGTGGAACGAGCTAGCGAGCCGGAGCGCGCCAGACCCAGGGCGAGACTGCAGTGACGCGGCCCGGGAGACATGGCGGCCGGGCGTCTCTGAATAAGCAGAATCTGGAGCCCCTCGCCGCCCCCGGCCGCCGCAGCCTTGGCCATGCCGCACGGCTGCTGACCGCACGCAGGGGCCGGCCCCGAGGACACATGCGGCGGCCTCTGCCGCCTCGCCCCTGACCCTCTGCCCTGTTCTCCATGTTGCATTTCTCGTCAGTTTCTCGGGCGGTGTAGCTGCCGCTGCCACCAGAGCCGGCGGGGTATCGCGCTGCTCATTCATCCAGCGTACTTTCTTTTCCATTTCCACCCCTCCCTTCCCATTTCCTTCTCCCTTTCCCCGCCAGCTTTGCATCCATCTCCCCGACCCCGTCACCCCCTCCTGCTTCCATCCACCGGGGCTATGGCCGCAGAAGAGGTATTGCAGACGGTGGACCATTATAAGACTGAGATAGAGAGGCTGACCAAGGAGCTCACGGAGACCACCCACGAGAAGATCCAGGCTGCCGAGTATGGGCTGGTGGTGCTGGAGGAGAAGCTGACCCTCAAACAGCAGTATGACGAGCTGGAGGCTGAGTACGACAGCCTCAAACAGGAGCTGGAGCAGCTCAAAGAGGTGAGTTGCCTGTCACCTCTCCCCTTCCTGGCCCGCACTCCCCCCACCGGCAAGGCCCACTCATCATGATCAAGAAGTCATGAAGGAGGTGATTGAAAGGGCTGTTTCTTCTTCTAGGGCCCTTTGTTGATAAGAGAAGATTGAAAGAGTCCATTGTTTTCTCCCCCAAGAGAAAAATTGCCAAAGAAATGAATATATAAGCTGGAATTTGGGAGGCAATGGCTGTTTGGCCTGCGGGGGAGGGAGATTCGTAAGAGTCTTCAAGTCTCAGCACTCTAAGGCGACATTCAAGTGGGTTGGAATGTATAAATCAAACTTCTCAAAACCGCTGTTATCTCAAACCCAGGTTTCAGCGACAATTTCATAGTCCACAGAAGTGATGAGGTTTGTGCCTGAGGACCCACAATTTCAGGATGTAGACTGTGTGGTACCTCAGCTTTTCTCTAGATGTAACCGCTCCTTGGTGAGAGAGGGAGCTCCTCACCAATCCCATTTGACAAAGGCTAGGCAATCTTCATTCTGCTTGGCTTTAGTCATTCTTGTCACTGGGCTGCAGGAGAAAAACAACTTTGCTGGGTGATCCCATTGCCTTGATTTCACCTCGGAGGAGGCTGGGCCATGCCCAAGTCTTATGAGGTCACCCTGACTAGAAAAAATTGAACTCACCTACAAATAGTCTGAAAGAGTGGTGTATATGAAATACGTGGGTAGTGTTGCATTTCAAATGAGGCTCTTCTGGTTGAAACGATATATTTATAAAACCAGAATATCACAAATGGGTGATGTATAATGTCTGTCTTCAGTTTTTTTGTATTTGGCCTCTTTTAAAGCCTGTCGGATGTATGGGAGAAAACAATGAACGTGCTTTGATTTTCTATCAAGCACTCTTAAGAACATACATATTGTTTAAGGAACTCGGTCTGTTTTACCTGATTCTTGAGGCACTATGGGTAGCAAGTAGCCACTTATAAATTTAAATGTAATATACACTCCTTTTCTGTGCGTCAAGTCCTTATTTTTAGGTGCATATTGACATTTAAATGTTAATTATTGTTTGGCATATAATATCAAAAATCTGTTTCTTATGAGTTTGGTTTTTCTTGGGAGGGGTCTTATTTTATGCTGTTACAGTTAAAAAAAATGTGATTTATGACATAATGAATCAACTTGCCTTCCAATTTAGTGTGTAATATGGTAAGCATTTATACTTTTAGATATGTCTTACTTTATTTGGATGCCTGCCTACCAAAAAATAAATGTACCACCTATGATTAAAAATCCCAGCTAGGAATCTAATTTTTGTGTGTGTCAGGCTGTACATTTCTAGTTCATGTTTTACTTACCATGTACCTGTCTGGTCTTAACAACAGCTGGAGTTGTTTATATTTTCCAACTTAGATTAGGCTGACATATTTAAATGCAGTGATGCTAAACCTCATGAAGTGAGGAAGCAGGATGATGACTGTAATTCTCAGAGATGTTTTGATGTTGTCTATACCTATCAACACTGCTTTGCCAAGACAGGGAAATGCAAACCACAAAGTGGTAAGCCATCACCTTCTTGATAAAGGAGATGGACTTAATTTAATGAAATGTACCTGTTACTGACTTTCCTGCTTGATTTAAACAATCCTTCTAGGGATATTTCTGTCATTGCACTTACCTTGCATAGCAAACCTTAATGCAATTGTGTTGCTACACTGTGAGCTTTGCATCCAAAGTCTTTAACACAAAAGCTAGCACATGGTGGGCATGAAATATTTTATGAAAGAATCAGTTTGTACCAGAAGGCACACTTTTGTCAAGCGTTCAGTAGTCAATATTGGTTAGTGTTAGAGAAATACTAAGAAAGTTAGGATGTATAGGAAGTGACAGATGTTAATAAAACTACCTGTATTAGTTTCACCAGCAGTAATTAGAAAAATGTGAAAAAAATGTTTTTTAGGAATAATGTAACTGCGGTTTCTTAATACAGAATGATGCAAATACCAGCTAAAATTTTTTCTATAAATATTTTAATGTGTATTTTGTTCTGTATAGCAGGAGGTTAATAAAAATTTATCAGCATTATTTTTACTAAATGATTCTTTTAATATATTTATTTTCAGTTGCATTTAGCATAAGTGAAATTCAAGATTCCTAAAAAACTGGTTTATACAGTTATATAAAAATGTATTTTAGGTAATAAAATAATTATTATAGTTGATTATTTGATAGTGAGGCCTATTATTTTTATTCTTTAAACATGGAATATACTTTAGTTGGAAATATAACTTAAATTAGTTAAATCGATTTCAAGTAATATTTCTTGTATGAAAAGTAAATCCAAAATAATTGTGCAAACTGAGGTGTTCCAACACTAATATTATATAGAAGTCAGTTTTGAAAAATATATTTTGTGAGTGTTTTGATTTTTCAAACGGAAGTTTTGCTCATTATCAGGTGTATATAGTAAATGATGTTGCATTGTATCTATAAAGCCAAGCATAAAATAAATCTGGCTTATTTCTGGGATCTTTGAACAAATATGATTTATTTAAAAATAATTGAACCAGTTTATGGGAATGTCAACAGAAAACTGCTGTATTAAGTCCAAGTTGGACATTAGTCATTTGCAATCTAGCAACATGGCTCAGTCTTTGCAGGTCATTTTGTTTTCCAGAGTCAGTACCCACCAATGTTGCTACCTTCCTTCCCAGGCTAGGTACTGCTGTGACAATAATGCAAGTGGGCAGTGTTGCCTGAAGATGTACAAAATCAAGATGATGAAATTCATTACATTTTTTTCCTAGTTATTTCTTCTCTTAACTCAATTGTTTTTTGACCTGGCCTGATGTTGTTTAGTGCTCTGCATGGACTACTGTAATTCAGCTCACAAAAGAACACACTTGAAAGAAAAATACTAAGGATTTGAAAAAAGGATGACTTCTGACATCATCAGAATGTTCTCCTTTTCATGATTCTTTGGGCAGCTGGACAGAGCAGCTATATCCACTGGAATACTTGCGTCTGGTTTTGTGATTTCACAAGTAACACTTGCTCTTCAGTGACCTGAGTGAGGGTCACCCACACCCAGTTATGCTCAGGGCCTGGCTGATTATATGTTTGGGATGTACGTAAATCAGCACTGTGAGCCTGTCACCCAGGCCAGAATAGTGTTTGAAGAAGAGTCATAGCTCCAAAATAACCTGAAAACTAAAAATATACATATATAAAAATACCCTAGATCTTAAGAGTGTTTTTGAACTTAAAAATGGTTGAAATTTAAAATGTTGTAAAGTTGAAAAAGAACCCCTTTAGAAAGGAATGATTCAGCATTACTGGTGGCATTTTAAAAAGGAAATGTATCTGTGAGACAGCTTTAGAAAAGTTTTGCAGCTTGGATACCGTAAACTATGCACTAATGAGCTTCAACCCATTTTCTTGCTCATTTTGTCAACCCTGACACCAAGGATGGTTACCAGCTGCTGAAGAAGCACTTTCTGGACATTGGGCAGCTTTTCCTTTTGTAGCCAACTCTATGCTTTTTCAGGGTTATAGTTAAATCATTCAACACAAAAATAGGTACTTATACAGTTTTAGAGCTTGTCACATTGGTGACCTGATGAATGCCATTTAATTACCTAGATTCATCTTTAAGCAGAATTGTTTTCCTTTCAGATGCTTAGAAAGATTTGTTAGTTTCTTTTATATCTTTAAGTTCTAAATCACGAAATCATATGGCAAGAAAAACCCCAGATTTCTTTTCCAATCTATAAATAAACATAAAGAGAAAGTTAATACTTAATTGACCTGAACTATGATTTTTAACTTCTCTCATTGTTGTTATTTTTTTATTTTATTTTATTTTATTTTTGAGATGGAGTCTCGCACTTTCACCCAGGCTGGAGTGCAGTGGCACAGTCTCGGCTCACTGCAAGCTCCACCTCCCGGGTTCACACCATTCTCCTGCCTCAGCCTCCCAAGCAGCTGGGACTACAGGCGCCTGCCACCACGCCCGGCTAATTTTTTGTATTTTAAGTAGAGATGGGGTTTCACTGTGTTAGCCAGGATGGTCTCAATGTTTTTAAAGAAAATATATTTACATTTATCATCAAATTAATCTTAAAATCTAAAATACATTAAGATATGCTTTTGGAAACTGTTTACAAACAACCTCAACAAACAAACATCATCGCTTTCAGTCACATCTCTTTTTTTCTGGACCCAGTTGCTCTAACTTGCACTACCCCTTCCTTTTTTTTTTTTTCTTTGAGATGGAGTTTCACTCTTGTTGCTCAGGCTAGAGTGCAATGGTGTGATATCGGCTCACTGCAACTTCTACCTCCCAGGTTCAAGTGATTCTCCTGCTTCAGCCTCCTGAGTAGCTGGGATTACAGGCATGTGCCACCACGCCTGGCCAATTTTGTATTTTTAGTAGAGACGGGGTTTCTCCATGTTGGTTAGGTTGATCTTGAACTCCCGACCTCAGGTGATCCACCTGCTTCAGCCTCTCAAAGTGCTGGGATTACAGGCAACTGTGCCTGTCCCGTTCTTTTTATTTCAAATCAAGATTTCGTCTCTGGCAAAGTTATTTCTCAGATATAACTTAGCAAGAATTTATCATCTTGTATCACATTCCCCATGTTTATGTGAGTATGTATGACAGCAATGGCTTGAAGATTTCTTCAGAACTTTTTGCTTGCAAATATTTTGCCCTATCATCCCCTTAAATATACTTGTACTCATGGATATTGCTTTCCAAATTTGAAAATAAGGTAATTAATTACTTGCATGTTGAAATATACATAAAGGACTTGCCCACACATAAGATTCCACCTGTAATTATGGCTTTGAGGAGAGGAGGGCATGAAGGGCTTCATAGTCTTAGTATTAAATAATTCATTATACTAAAGGAGAATGCATGTAAAGTCAAGTGGCAGGAGATGCAATTGGGAAAGGGCCATCGCCACATTTTGTCTTTGTCTTGGGGATGTGGAGCCATTGAAAATAAATGAAAC